GCACTGTTTGATTCATGCACTATTATATGTAATAGGTAAGTGTTGACATGATGTAAAAAAAAACATCTGTCCAACCAGTGACAGATAGGAGTTTTCATTATTTTAGTTTTCATTTTGTGAAATTTCATTTGGTGAAATTAACAGTGCAGATAATATGGATAGGGCAATATTTTTCATATTTATTCTTTATACTTGCGTTATACGTAGAGAATGCATATATGAAGTGTTACTCGCTCTAGCGTGTATATTTTTGTGGTTGTTGTTGGAGGGGTGAAATTCAACGTGACCTTGCAATCACTGTAATGCTAAAAGCTCATTAGCTAATCAGTGGTCCGCTCGCTAATCAGCGGTCCAATCTGTTCCTAGATTTATAAACATAACCAATATGCTCTAGTGCCGATCCACCCTCCGTCTGTCATGTTCACATTCCCCCACAAAAGAGAGGATAAAAAAGTAGAGAAAAGAAGAAAAAATGTTGGCAGTGCCTGGGGCCTGTTGTGATGTAAGACGGAGGGAGAGAAAGAGGGGGGTGCACCCTTGTATGGTTCACAGACTCTGTACGAATGCATGCATACACACACACATATCTGACGACAACTTACTGCCAAAGAGCCATCCATGCACATATATCTCCACATATAGAGATGCATTCTCTCCGAAACAAAGAAACTATTTCAACTGCGCTGGTCTCGTTTACACTCGCGCACACACATGCTCATGCGCCCCAACACACATTACAAACGACTTCACATGACTAAACACACACACACACACACACACACACACACACACACCCCCACCCACCGAGAGAGAACCACTCCAACTTGTCTACTGTTGACACAACACAGAGTTCAGGTCTGAGCAAGTGCTGAAATTCCAGTATGGCAGAATTGTTAGCAAATACTTGAGAACAGACTGAGCCCAACTGTGCAGAAAGGCAAACAATCCCTATATCCATCCAGCTTCATGGAGCTGAGCTCTCCACTATGTCTCCATCTCCGCCTGATGTAGCAGGGGATTTTGAGGGTGTAGGTTGGGTCGCATGCCTGTGTCTCACTGGTGTAAATATGTCTTTTGTTTGGCGGTTTGACCCCAGGGTTTGTTGGTATTTTGTTGAAAGGCCACGGATATTCACGCTAAAGCACCTTGACAGGAAGGCTGTGTGAAGGCCGCTCCGGGACATGGGCTATGGCTCATCTCACCCAGACCTGCTTGCATCCTTTGGGCCGCTGTTGCGTATACACACACACATACACATATGCATGCATGAACAGTGAGACTCACGCATATGCACGCATGCTCAGCTTAAGCAAGTAAGTTGTCAGTGTACACTACATCTAGAATCATGGATTTAGTAAACACACAGAATCCAAAGGAAAATTTTACTGCCCAGACGTTGCTCTGTGATAGACTTAATGGAGTTCCTTGCTATTTTTTTATATAAGTATAAATTTGTCTTCAAAATAAACTATAATCTTTGCTGTCAAGCAAGTATCCATTTGCTTTCCATTTAAATCTCATCGTGGTGTAGTAGAAACAACTGATATACTACACAGATCTCATTTCTGATTTTGCTTTCGTATAAGTTAAACTGCCTATCCAAGATACCTATTGGGTCAGGGGTGACATTTTCCCCCGAAGCTATAAGAACGTTGCCAGATACTACACACGAAGAGCACATAGAGCAATCATCCAGAGCTTTTCTTGAACAAGTTTCAACTTCTCTTGACATGGGCGGGCTTGGCTGTCAGAGAAGTGAAGCATGCCAGTCATCCAGTTCTCTCTCTTTATTTTGCTATCGCTCCTTTTTTTTCTCTCAGGCACAGAAACCTGATCCAGGGTGTGTGGACGCTGTTTCTCTAAAGTAGCCCCGCCACACTTCACTCCATGCTTTTAAGACTTTCATAAAAGCCGCCTTATTGACAAAACAATCCATCCCTAAGGTTTAAACAGCATCTTTAAAGAGATTATTCAATTCTGTCAGGAAGGGAAGAACGGGCAACACGTGAAACCCAATGACCCGCCCATTGATTTTACATCACTGATCTTTATGGAGTGTTCTGAGAATGCTTTCTCTTATCGTCAAAGGCTAAAACTTTTCTTTCTCTCTGCAACTTTCCTTTTTCTTACTCTACCATTATTTCAATGAAAGTTTTGCATTTGTATGTCGAACAACTGACTGTGCCTTTACATCATTATGGAGTTGTACATAATCCCTATCAAAGCTCTGACATCTCCCTCCAAAAATAGATCCCACATCGATGCCTCCTCAATGCCACGTTCGCTCACCGCGTCTTAGGCTGTCTCTGTGTGTTCATGCGTGTCCGGGGGTGCGTATGCGTCTGTGCTCATGTGTGCGTAAGGGTGACCATAAGGGTGTGACTAAGTGTATGTCTATTGCGTATCATCCAGATTTGAAGAATAGTTTTCAGACACTCTCAATGCATGTTGACTAAACAACACACTCACCCACGTGGGTCGATTGTTAATATGTGGACCCAGATTTGCAGCAGTCCCTCACGTTATGTTAGCGCCAATAATTCATGAGTGATCCGTACACCACGCGGCCTTTAGCATTTTTTATTTAATCTTCAGCTTGCAGATTCTCGGAGTCCTCATCAATAATGGACACATACATATGTGTTAACAAGTCTATGGGAGCAGGGCTTAAGGAAGCCATAATTTTTGGTTGATCTCTTGTTTAGCTCCATCTGTTAGCTGTTTGTTTGATGTCACATTGTGGTTTCCACATGTTCACCCTTAAGTCCTATAATCAACAAAATGTTTGTTCTGAGATATGGCTAAATTATATGGACTTGCATGCTAAGCAAATTAAATCTATATGCTTGCATGCTAGAATGGAATGCTGGAATTTATCTTTTAAATCTTGCACGAGTATTGTATGTTGGAAATAAGCTGTATTGGCCCGGTGCTTTGACTAGTCTGATGAATAGAATCACAGCTTGGGAAATTGCCTCTAAAAATCAGCAGGTCAGGAGGTAACATCACCAGGGGTTGCCATGGAGACACCCAATGGTGAGCTTCCTACTAAGCACAACCACGGGCCTATGAAACGACAGATCCTACTCTCTAACCCCTAATGTACTGAGCATCTCTCTCTCTCCCCCTCTGTTTTCATATACACTTTCCATGTCATTTGCACCCTTACACACATATCCGAACACATCCACACTGATGCACACAATCTGAGAGAAGGCTGCAATATCCGAGCATGCAGGGTTTAACAGCTAATACCGCTTAAATTGGCCACCTCTGGCTCATCGCTTACACACTTGCTCAGACAAGTGCTCCTTCTCCTGCATCCACACAAACACAGGCAATATGACAATTCTTCCAACATACACCAAACCCTGCTACACAATGATTCGGCCCAGTAGCCGAATGCTGGGGTAGGACAGGACAGTGTGTGAAGTAATTGCCTGTGTGTTCTCTGCTAACTAATATGGCTGAAAGAATTGATCTCCCATGGGTTGTTGTGAGGTCACAGAAATTGATAACCCCAACAAGATTCCCTTGTGTCCGTCAGCCTGCGTCCCACTGATAGGCCACTTTTGTAAATTAATCCTCATTCTTAGTCACCGGTTGTCTCGAAGGTACCGAACCGAACAATGGTAAGGATTATATTGTCAGAAATTACATTTTGTGTAATGGGTTTTAATACGTCTCCCATCTCTCTCACTCTCCTAACATCTGGTGTACATAGCAAGGGATTGGTTGTTAATAAGCTTGAGAAGCCTGATGGAATAACAACGTTACAGTATGTAATCAGGATACAAATGTATATTGCATTACAGTAAATGTGATATGTTTAGCAATGCATTTTGTAAAAACAATAATTGCTAGCGGAATTTTTAATGAATATTAAAAATATATAGTACTACCAACAAGTACTATGGTACAAACAACTTTCAGATGGGCATTCCATAGCACTATCCACAGCAGCTACATTAGACTGCGCCCATTCTAACAACCAGTTTCTACAGTAATTGCAACTATCACGTACAAATGACATGACGCTTAAGTGAAACTATTTTTGTTTTACAGTTGGCAACTCATTGCAATGACAACAGCCAGAAAAATGCTTTCAATGTACACATACATGTTTTCTCGTTCTATAAAAATGGCTATGTATAGATGTGATCTAGTTTCTTTTGCTTTTCTCTTGTAACTTAAAGTAGTTTAATGGTTCATATTTGGCTATTTGGATGATTAGGCTACTGATTGCCTTTGTGAAGTAATTAATATGTAATTTCTCATTTGTATCGGAATGCTTTTTTAAAACAACTCTCCCATCCCATGTTGGGAGTGCTTACATTAAGGCCGGTTCATTCAGCAAAATGGATTAGGGCATGTAATCAGATCCTTGGCAATATCAATCTCTGACACTTAAAGAACAAGAGCGGAGTGAGTTTGCGAACAGAATTTCATGGCCTGGCATGAAAGAATTTGTGGCGAAGGTTGTTCTTTATGTTCTTACATCAAACGTTCCGTCCTTTGTTAGTTTTCACCTCCCCACTCCCTATCTCAGGCCCTTCATTAGACACGGCTAATAACAGTAAGTATGTGCTGATAGCCATCACTGGTAACAAACACACCCCTGTGAAGGTTCTGTCAAACTTTTAATGGTGGAAACGACAAAATCAATAGCTTTTTAGGCTGAGACATAGAGTTCTGTGTCACAGTAAGCATGGGACAGACAGGTTTTGAGAGAGGATTCACAGAGGCGCAAGAGTAGCTGCTCTCACAGGGATTCATATTTGAATGAGTGAACAAAAAAATTATTTAGTCGGAAAAATCCTGGCGGCAATATCCCTTTGGGTGAATTGATTTGAAGGGAGCTGAGGCGATAAGTGGGAGACAGATGGGAGGAGCGAGCAAAAGTGGGGGGGAGGGGAGTGTATTAATTCAAATCATTAAGAGCCGCTTGCCAGGGGCGAAGCTATTGATTGCATGTAAACACAAAAGTACAATTGACTTACCAGTTGTTCACTTGTAGTATAGTCAGCCCGGTGTCTTGTGCCAGTTGCTTTTTCTGTTCTTCTGAAGGGTATGGGTGCTGATAAAAGAGAGAGAGGAAAAAACAACAGGAAATTACATGAGAATTATTGTAAATAAATAAATTAATGAACACATTTGTTAGTGAGAGAAAGGTCTGAGGTACAGAATGGAGACGTTGCTCACACATTTGTGCAGAAAAGTGGCAAAGCAGCTGTTAATTAGTGTGAAAAAGTGAGGTGTGTCTCTTTCTTAGAGTCATTAATGGAATATGAAATCGTGTAATTAATGGCAGCGAAAAAGGCAAGCCAATTATAAAGTTAAGTGAAGTGTGGGAACAGAAACAGTAATTAGAGTGCTGTGCCGTGCAACCCCACTGAAATTTATTCTAGTCATCTTGCTGCCATGAATGCATGATAGACAATGGATATCGGAAGCCTTGTGTGGAATACAAACCACAAATCTGACACATACCTCTTCCTTTTTTAATTTTTGTGAGATTACCGTCATTACAGATGATTAGCCAGTTAGCTAAAAGGTAACAACATGGGTGATACTAAAGTAAGGTGAACAGTTTTCAATACAGCCAAGTTAAGAACTTGATATTTTGCTGATCCAGCTGTTTAAATAAAGGTGAGGTGAGATTTGCTTGATTTATACTAGCATTAGTATGAAGTATTGAGCTTTCTAGCTTTGAGTCTAAACAATGTGCTGTTCATAAAAAAGACAAGACAGAGCCTGTGTTGAGGCCCCTGCTGAGCATGTACAATGGGAGGTACATTGTGCAAAGATGTTTACACCACATTTATACCTAGAGAGATAAAAAAAGAGATAGAACCCTGTGTTTTGGTCTTAAAGCACAGCAATAACCCCTCTACCATTTCTGTGGTACAATATTTTCATATAATGCTTTGTTAACACAATAATCGGACCTAGACACCTCCACTGTTTGACTCACTGTGCTAACAGATTCAGACCTTCTAAGCCCATTACCAAACCTTGCACAACCTGATAGGGATTAACAGAGACAGAGGCTTTAACTTGGCGTTGGGCTGCAAATCTACCAAAGTGACAACAGATCGCTGTTTAACAGAGGAGTTAGCAAATCACTATTACAAACAAAAATGTTTTCTACTAGTCCTCAAACCATAGCGAGTCAACATCCTTGACACTGCAGCAAAGTAACTAGGAGCCAAGCATGTCACAGGGAAAGGGCACTTATGAATATAGTTTACTTTTACTTATGTGATCTAACGTATAAGGAAAGGAAGACATTGGCAACTGTGATTCTGATTCACCCTTTCAGAGGTATAATAAGAACAAGGCTTCCAAATGAACAAACAAAATGTAAAAATGGTTGGCGCCACGGGTTGTCTGATATTTTTTTCAAGCAATAATAAATTGGAATGTCTTTCATGTTGCTGAATGCATGTTTATTTACTGGTACTGCCAGAGAAAGCGAGCTGTTTTCCTGTCGCTCTGTCATTTTCATGTGATCCAATTGTAGGTAATTGGAACAAACTGTGGATAATTTCATGCAGAAAGTTATAATTGTAAGTGTCGCCTCCAGCCATTTCTAAATAGATTTTAAGATTTTTTTATCTTATCTTATCATATGTTTCCAGTGTCCATCATTGTAAACCACAAAGATGAGGTTTGTGTGAAACCAGGGCCAGGACTGGAAATGTGAGAAAACAACATTCCAGCCTCTCTCACTGTCATCTGATCAGTGGTAATTGCTGATAGCAGGCCTTTGAGCATCAAAAATGTAATGGCAACTACAATCATAAAATCAACGTATAAGTCCAACATCACATTTATGTCATTCCTGCCCTGTTCTGTACTTCATCAAATCATCAGAGAGAGAACAGCGGTCATGCTCAACTTTACAAATGAACTGTGGAGGTAAAAATGGCATTGAGTGTGGCATGATGGCTGGTCAGCCCTGTAGTGAAGGGAACATGTTTGGACAAAAGTATCAGAGGCCTCATGACTTTTAAGGGGAAAGCTGTGCCAAAGGCTATGTGATAGCACAAACACTGACTGTTCTGCTGCTGGCTTGCAAAGAATGACTCCAGCTCTGGGCCGCTGCAATTCCAGGTATGAAGGCTGAGAATTCACACATCGTTGTGTTCTGCTCACTACCTCTCCTACACCGAAAGATTTTAAGGACAGCAGGTTAAATTCCAGCTTTGTTACACTCCGATAACATGATTTGGAAACAAGAAACTCTTTTCGCCAGACCATTTGCATACAAGATTCTTTTGCAATCTGCTATTTTGAAACCCGTCTCTTCTACAACTATGTTTTGTCAGTCATTGCATGGTCTAAACTTGCAAAGGAATGGGTAACTAAGAGTCATTCACATTAAAATTCAAATATTAAATATCTTGATGAGATATAGAATGAAGAATGCATTGTACAGGCTTCGCTTTCAAGAAAAGAAGTGGGAGGAGGACTGTCAACTAAGGCAACTTGTTAGACAACTTTACAAAATGAAATGTTACAACAATGCACAATGGGGTGGAGAAAATGAGCAGTCAAGTTTCAGCTCAACTTAAATGTAACCTAATCCTATCCTAACTTCTCATTAAATCCTAGAAACCCCACACAAAGACCTGTTCTGTGATTGACAGGTGGCTCCGACCATGAGCATTTAGCAGTACCCAAACAGGATTCCTGTACAAATGCCAACTGGGTCAAGCTCTTCCGACCACAGCATCGAGCGTGCCTCACCTTTGTTGTCATAATGACCTCGAGGTAGCCACACCTGTATTTGAGCAGAATGGGGCAGCAGTGACTGAAGCCCCATTTACACTTATTACTCGTCATATCTGGAAAACATACAGCTATGATTTATTCACTTTTAATTAATAGCTGCTCACACAAAAGCCCTTATGTTAACTTAAGCCCTACCTTTTTTTGGTTTATATGTAAATTGTCCAGTATCTATGTGCAATCATGGCAGGTTGATAGATCAATTCTATGGCTAAAATACCTGGGTTATTATTTTTGTTGTTGTTTTGGACCTTTCTGTTTGCTAAATGCAAAACAGACCTTTTTTTCCACATTCTTTACAAATGTTCTTCCATTCTGTCTCTTTGAACAATGTTCTCACACATCTTTTCCATCCTTGTCATACTGATGTATTTCATAAAAGCATTCATAAACTTATGAAGTGGATATGTTCAGAAACAATTTTTTTTCTTTGTCTGGTTCTCCAAACACCAAAGTAACCCTATGCGTCAAAACAGTGTGATTTAGATTCTGGTTTAACTGAGAGAAACCAACAGATTTTATAATAGTCAGAGAGCGACAGTATTTTAATCCTCTTGGCAGCAGTACTGGCTGAGAATTGTTTTCTCAGGGTCTCGTGATGCTTTAGTGAGAAAGCAATAATACTGCCTAAAGAACAGATGGAAAATCTCAACGCATCCTCCCTGTTTCCTTTCGCCTATCTTAATGATACGTCTTGTCCAAATATACTACTCCTTTCATCAGAATTTCCAGCCTCTTCTGCACTGGTGGATACCAAGCCAACAATGTCCTCCCCATGCTCAGTTCTCCATCATGTATCTTATCTGTGTGTGTGTGTCTGTGTCTAGCAGTGCATCAACAATAGTCCCTCCCGATCTTCCTCTGTGGCCCCCTCAGACAGGGAATGGCGGGGAAGAGCATAGAGTCCGTGTCCTATCGGCGAGATAAGAGAGGTGAACAGGTCTCTCCCATTCTCTCGTGCTCTCTCTGAGCCCAAGATTGCTGCTCAAAATCGAACTCAGAATTTCCCCCAACCCTTGGTTGACTCTGCTCTCCTTACCCACAATTTCGAGCGATGGCAGAGAATGCTGTTTTGAATACAGCCAAGATATGAGGAGTCAAGTTGTGTCAGGAGACCTTTCCGTGGGAGAGGGTAGAATTCCAGTATTTACTGCACTGTACCCTGAAAGCTGAGAGGTACAACCCAGACTATGAGAGCAGAAACATGAGAGGTGTGTACTCTTGGTCTTTATGTCTTTGTCGGGAGAGTTGTGTGTATATAGAACAGGGAGGAGGAGGTCTGGATGAGCTCCAGCTGTGCTCCTTATCAGGTCCTTAGACAGGCTCCTCTGGTTCACTGTGAGGGGAGAACTATTTTGGAAGTTGCTTTCATCTCTGTGTTTTCTTCATCATTTTGCTTCCCCCACAAAAAAAAGCCAGAATCCCAGCAGTATTTCTTTACCCGTCAACTCCCAGGGTTGGCTAGGGCCACATACTGAACACATCCTCCCCCCAATTGCTGTGGACACGTCTTTTTGTGTTCCATTTAACCAATTAATTACAATCAGCCACAACCCCCTCTTCCCCACTCCGCTGCCTTCATTACCCACATTACCGTTATTATCGTTATGTTCTATTTAAGGGAACATTTCTCTCTATCCTGTGTGATTTGGATTAAAGAAGCTTTCCACACAAGATTAACTTCATAAAATAAGTGTGCGCTGAACATGGTGCTTATTCTTCACACAGAAAAGGAGTGGGGAGGCATGGCACAAAAATGAGGCATGCCCCTTGAGTCGCAGAACACGGGAATTAATCCTAGTGGCTCCATCTGACAATGCTTCCACTATGTGCCTATCTCGCTAAGCAACGTGCTGTCTAAATAGTAAATACGTTGCAGGGGCGACTCAGGTCAACAGGTCCTTTTAAGGTGAGTATGTATGGGTTCATTTCTGCTGCCTCACTTCCATATTCCTTGTGGCTAATCCCCATGGAAGCCAAGCTGCCCCTGAGGAATGCCTGAGGCTTGATCCAGGGGCCATTTTGGCCAAAGTGTCTACTGAGTATCATTTCAACATCCTATCTCAGAACCAGCCACTGTATGCGTGGGCTGCGTCCACCACTCTTCCGTGGCTTGGCCCTTGAGAAAACAGGATTAGGTCTGAAGTTTAGTGCTCCACCTACTCCAGCTCTGCTAGCATTAACTGCACCAGAGCCACAGCTTCAGGCCTTCTGCGATTGGGCCACCTACAACATTCAGCCCAAACCTCAGGGTGGGGGAGGAAGGATTACCCTTGATATTTG